GAACAAAATTACTCTAAAATATCTATGTCTTAATTTGGCTAACTATAACTTAAAAAGCAGTGGTTGTCAAAGTACAGTCCCCAAGCCAGCATTATAAGAATCCCTGGGAACTTGGTAGAAATGCAAACACTCAGTTCCCAATCCCAATTTACTGAATCAGAAACATTAGTGTTCGGAAATCTATGTTTTGACAAATCGCTGCAGAAAATTCTGATGCACACTTATCAGTGACTTAGAGTATGATACTAATAAGACCATGACTATAAGTCTAAAATTATCTGGTTCAATTTAATGTAAATTCTGTAGAAACCTTAAATGTAGAACCTTAAATACTGAGAGAACCCAGTAAGCAGGTATGGATGGTTCCAGGGAAACTTTCTTTTATTACCTCAGTCATGGGAACTCTAATGACATGTTTTATTGTAGGTAACAACAGTTTTGCAAATTATATGCAAAAGACATTCTGAAACTAGTTAAATTGGTGGTTGCACACATTTATATATTTTAATTGCTTTATAGATTTATGAGTATGTTTGAAGTTTGAACAGGGTAACATAGCTATTTCCCAAATTCTTTTTTCATTTATTATTTATTTTGAGAGGGGGGAAAGGGCAGAGAGAGGGGGAGAGGATCCCAAGCAGGCTTCTCACTTTCAGCATGAAGCACTATGTAGGGCTTGAACTCATTAACCATGAGATCATGACCTGAGGCAAAATCAGTTGCTTAACTGACTGAGCCACTCAGGTGACCTAGATATTCCTATATTCTTAATCAGTGGATGGTCCACCTTATCTCAGATGGAATTCTCTTCACAAAAGTTTCCAAGATTTGCTAGGGACCCAATGGAAAATTGTGAGTTAGGAAAGAGATGTCAAATAACTTGTCAAATTGGCTAACTCAACTGTTGTGAACAATGCTGTGAAGGATACGGGCAGGCAGATTGCTTTCATATCTGGTGTATTCCTTTGGTTTAAAAAATGTATCGATTTAATCAACTATGGTTGGTTATTATATTTATTTACATCATTCTTGGAATTCATTTCCTGTCATTCTAGCATTTTGACATACCCACTAGTAAGATCAACTGTTCTTTTCCCCTGGAAAATAGCATTATAACCAATATGTAGACATGATTCAAAGAGATTTAGAAATAAAAAGAAAATAAAATTTCACTCCTTGTTATTATCCTTATATATAATACAGTAGAACTCCTTTTTAGCAATATACCATTGCTACAATTTAAGGAGTTGAAGCTAAATCATGATATGTAAGTATCTTTCGTAAAAATCCTAGGAGTTAGACTAAAAATGATGGTTACCACTCTTCCTACTCTCTAGCCTTATTAAGGGATTTCCCTTTTCACGCACTATAAACTTTATTGTTCCAACAAGAACAACTATTAAACTATGATCATATTTATCATTTATTATTTAATCTCATTAATTTCAACAAAAAGGCAATTATGAGCTCACATTTTACAAGTAAGTGTGAATTGCTCTCCTTTTCAAATTGATTTGTAGGGGTCTCAAAGTTATTTCTTATTTTTAGAGAATGAAAGTTATCTGACACAACTAAGTCATTATTTAAAGATTATAAGTGCAGCATTTGTTAAAACTTAAACACTTAAAACTTCACTGTTTGTGTTGGGCGCCGTTGTGGCTCAGTCAATGTCTGACTTTTGATTTTGGCTCAGATCTTACCGTTCTTGAGTTCAAGCCCCATGTGTGGGTCTGCTTGGGATCCTCTCTCCCTCTCTCTCTCAAAAATAAATAAGCATTAAAAATTCCACGTTTGTGTACATGAATCCATTTTTATATTTTATGTCTGAATACCTCCAAAATAAAATATTTGAATATTTCCCTAATTGTGCTTTTATGTTCTGTGTTGGTTCACCATTTTCCAGCTATTTGGATTATAAACTTTGGAGAATACTGAGATAGTATGTGGTTCTTTCTATAATTATACCCCAAGTATGCATGGCTTTGTATATGCTACAGTTTAGAAATCAGAACCACAGTGTAGAATTCGTGGTTGGTCTGTGATCTGCTGATCAAAGGCTCTTGTTTCATATTTTAGAACCTCTAGTGGGGCCAGGAAGTTTTTATCTCCATATGGGTCAGTTAATTTTTATCAGTTAAATTGCATGACCACTTATTTTCACCTCTGACCCTGGTAATCCAATGTATGCCATTTATCACAGGGTAAATGAGTCACTGTGAAGGTTTAAGTGTACTTTTTCCTTAGTCCTGAAAATAGTCATAACACATGATCTAATGGTGGTAGAGCCCATCTCATCACCTTTTATGATGAACAATACATTATTTAGAAACTAGATGTAGTGCATCCCAGTTCCAGAGCCACCCAAATATTACTAAATATTGTGTAAACTTTTAATGTTATGCTAGAATGACTGGAGATCCAGAGATACATAGGTATACAGAAAATTTTAGGCTAAAATTTTCCTGAAGACTGAAGTGAAAGCAAGAATCTCTACAATTGAAGCTTGAGTCTTCTTTAATACCTGCCTTTGTGCTTAAATAAAGCCAAAATATTTTTCACCGACAATCTAAGAACCACTGGGCTAGTCAAAATTGTACATAATAGGTCCTGGTTACTAGTAACTTAAAATCAGAGAATATATCTTTGATATAGTGAATCAACACAGAACAAAGAAGCATTAAACTCTGCAGAGTTAAGTAGTGCCATTCATTTTTATATTAGCCCACAGCTTTAACACAGTGTCTAGATAGAGTATTGTTTGTCCGTCTAACATATTGAGCACCGGCCCTATGCTCTGAATGCAGAGGTTAATAGGTTAATTTACTAACATCAAAATCTCAAAGTTTGTTGGTAAAGAAGGTTAAGGTGTTGAAATAAGGATATGGAAAATATTTTATGGAAGTAAAGAGGAATGGGTGACTCATTTTCCCTAGGGACGAGAGGAAGGAGGGTATGGAGAGGGTAAGGTAATATCAGAGGGGTTTCACAGAGCAACAGAGTGGGATATAAGGTTCGACATCAGGCAAAACTATTTTTAATTCTAGAATTTCCATTTAATATCTGTGAGGTCTTGGTAAAAACAATGAACTTTTCTGGGCTCAATTTCTTAATCTTTAAAATACAGATAATATGTTTTTTACAAGTTGTTATGAGTGCTAAATGAATTCATGAAGAGCATACGTCTGGAACATAGTGGGCTATCACTAACTAGTTGTTAGTATTGACTACTATTAAAATAAGTTGTTTAGGAAGACTGGGATAGGGAGGATATAATAACACGTGCATGGATTTGACTGGCATTTGAGGTAGTAGGTCTGCTTTTTACTTCCCTAGCACTGCACGCTATGGTGAAATAAATGGAGGGCATAGTTCAGTGTTTTCTTAGAGCACAACACAGTAGCTCTATGTGTAGTAAGTGGGAAAAGGGTGCTAGCATTTTACATTGACCATTAGAAACCTCTTCAAGATATTGAGCTGCCTTGTTGCTATTACCTTTGCTATTTTAAGTCTTTGAAGTGTCAACAGTGGAATAACTTTGTTATTAAGTGTTCTAAAGTGTTTGGATAAGGATCTTGATCATCCCCCGTGTGTGAGACTGTACTTTATATATCTCAGTTATATCACTAGCTCCCAGTACAGCGTGTGGCTTAGAGTAGCAAAGGTTTGATTTGAAGAAGATAGGAAAATGATTATTACTTTCACTACAGGTCCAGTACCTTCTAAGCGGGGTGTGTGTGTGTTGTGGGGGGGGGG